GAGATGTGTCCACCGCCACACCACTAGTAAGCATTTGGGCCAGAACTGGCATCCAGGTGATCTGGCTGCATGGTCACCAGGAGCACAGTGCTTTACAGTTTCCACGTCGCCTGCCTCAACTCACTCTTGTGCACCGGCCAGAGAGGTAACTGCAAAGCCCATTCCATGAAGCAGTGAGGTACGGAGGTCACCTGAGCTGAGACCAGCACTAGGACTAGGTCTAGTCGCTGGGGCTCTAGAGCTCTGTCCTCCAGACACTGTGGCCAGGGCCCTGCGGAACATCACCGTCTCACCCGGACACAGTGCTCCTCGCAGGGAAACAGACTCTCTCATGATGGCTCAGGAGAGTCAAGAGAATGGGCACCTTCTACAGCATCTCCCACTACCACCAGGACCAAGAGCACCGCTGTGGCACGCCACAAACTCATTGCGTACCTTTGCACTTCACTGCCTGGGTCAGGGGTCAAGGGTCAGGGGTCAGGGCTAGTCTTCGAAGCAGCCCCCTCGCTCCCTCACTACCACGCCCTTCCTTCCCGTCCCCCACAGGAGTCCACATCATGCTTCATTGCAGAGAGTGTAATCCGGTGTAACCCTTCCTCTGTGTGTCCACCTGTTAGCAGTGAACTCGTCCCATTCTGGGTCTCAAGCCTGACTCTCCTGGATGATTCCAGGTACCTGCACTGAACGATGAGCAGTAGAAAGTGAATTTCTAAAAGGCTTTTCTCTTTTTACAACATCTCACTTGCTCCTAAGACTCGCCAGCATTTAAGTTTACTGTTGTGTGGTTTGGACCCACTCTTGGGACCTTCCCAGTCTGCTCTGGGTCCTGGGACAGTCTCCAGTAAAAACCCTGGTGGCTCCTCAGACAGAGCCCTCCCCTCCTCCAGAGAAATTGCTGGGGCCTCTACTTGTGGGGGAAACAGACCCTCTTGCCCGATTCCAGCCTTTTCCCCATACTATTCTGTCCCTTCTCCTTTGAATTTTCTAAGGGAGAAAGCATAGTGCAATGGGGTGACCCTTTAGAGACCCCTCAGTTGAGAAAACCTCCCATTTCTCTAGGGACTGAGAAGGAGCTTCCAAGAGGGAAGATGTTGGCCGCAGGTGGGTGGCTGCAGGAAGGCTGCCAACAGCATCATTGTCTTTCCATCAACAGCCTGGAGGTGTCACTTGGTGTCCCCTGCAGCCTCCAAAGAGCATGGGTTCCCCTTTCCCCTCCAGACCCAGTGACGGTAAAAGAAAGCCTTCCTCTTAGTCTGAGAGGCTAACAAACTAAAAAAAAAAAAAAATTCTGCACAAAATTAAAGGAAATAAAACAGAAATAAAAACACACAAAATTTCCATAAAATAGGGTTCTTGGGGTAGAGGTTCAGATCTTAATTTACAGGCCAGGCATGGTGGCTCACACCTGTGATCCTAGCATTCTGGGAGGCCAAGGCGGCAGGACTGCTTGAGGTCAGGAGTTCGAGACCAGCCTCAGCAAGAGGGAAACCCTACCTCAACTATAAATGGAAAGAAATTTTAGCTACACAACTAAAAATAAAAAAAATTAGCCGGGCGTGGTGACGCACACCTGTAGTCCCAGCGACTCGGGAGCCTGAAGCAGGAGGATCACTTGAGCCCAGGAGTTTGAGGTTGCTGTGAGCTAGGCTGACGCACCATCACACTCTAGCTCAGGTGACAGAGCCAGGCTTTGTATAAAAAAAAACAAAAAAGATCTTACTTATGTAGTGAACTCTATTTCCACCCCAAAGGAGAAGAAAGACTTGGAGGTAGGAGATTTTGAATCTGTCCTAGGGCACAAAAGGAGGTCATTACAAGATAAGGAGGTCTTGGAGGACCATCTGCAGACCCTGCCTTCCTTCAGAGTCCTAAGAACCCTGGTGGCCCAGAGAGACAAAAGTGGGAAAGGGATGGCCTGGGAAGGTTTCACCAAGGGCCTTCCAAACAAGGGCCCCTATTTCTTTTGCTAGGGTCCTACTATAACAAACACATCCCAGTAAAAGACATTACTGACCCATTTAAGAAACAGCAGGTGCATTTATTACTGTCATTTAAACACAGTCAACAGGAAAAAGGAAGCTTGGTGGGAAGCATTTCAGAGTCCAGCTGCAGAGTGATTGATGGGTTGGTGCTCAGTACTTAGCTCCCATTGTTTGACCAGAGGAAAAACTCTACTGAGGTGCCAAACACTTAAAGAGTAAAGAGCAGAATGCTAGTCACCTGGGCACTAAAAGAAGCTAAAGATTCAAACTTTTTTTTTGAGACCGAGTCTCACTCTGTTGCCCAGGCTAGCGTGCCGTGGCATCAGCCTAGCTCACAGCAACCTCAAATTCCTGGGCTCAAGCGATCCCTCTGCCTCAGCCTCCCAAGTAGCTGGGACTACAGGCATGCACCACCATGCCCGGCTAATTTTTTGTATATATTTTTAGTTGGCCAATTAATTTCTTTCTATTTTTAGTAGAGATGGGGTCTCGCTCTTGCTCAGGCTGGTCTCGAACTCCTGAGCTCAAATGATCCGCCCACCTCAGCCTCCCAGAGTGCTAGGGTTACAGGCGTGAGCCACCGCACCTGGCCCAGTGACAACTCTTAACATGGTACTTCTTAGAGCAACCTTTCCTCTAACTGCTGATCCCTACAGCGATTCTGCCCCTGTCCCCTGCCCCCCGCTGCAGCCTGCATGACATCGTGACATTTCTCACGTGTCCATCCATCAGTTCACTCCTCTCCACTCTCAAACTCACAGGGCCGCAGTGGGAATGCAACTCCTCATAGACAGCACTGCAAGTGCTTGTGTCTTCCCCCAGTTCCTAGCACTCGTCCCCATGTAGGTTCATACACAACACACTGTCCCCAGCCTTTCCAGCCTCACATTCCCCGCCACCCACACCGAGCTGCAGCCGAGTCAGCTCACGGGCTCTACGACAGCCTTCCTTTCCCAACCTCGCGCCTCTGCCCAGGCTGGTCTCTCCTCCGTCCCTCCTGGCTCCCAGGCTCAGCTTCCTGGCGTCTGCCTCCCTCAAAGGCCTCTTGGATCCCTCTCTTCTGAATTCCCACAGCACAGGATCTGTCAGATTCAGAGAACTCACTGCTTTCTCCCTTGCTGTCACCGTTGGGTGCATATCTCATCTGTTAAATAGGGCTGTGAGGGCAGGAAAGGGTTTAACCAACCAGTCTTTGTCCCTTCGGCACCTTCAGGATGTGGGCAGTCACTGAGGCTTGTAGAACAATGAACACAGAATGAATGAATGAATGAATGAATGCAATTCCTGATTGCCCCTATAGCCTGTATATTGAAGTGTCTAGGGCAGAGTGACTAAGCCTTTATTTTTGTATATTCAGAAAAGATTTCAACAAAAATGATTCTACCATTACGTTCAGTTAAATTTATCTCCTGAAACAACTTATTAGTCATCAAGACTCTTAAGTCTGTGCTGAGTGCTAACCACTGACAAAATGTAATGAGAGAGGAAAAACTCTGATCTCATAACTGTCTCACAGAGTGTGGTTCTTACATCAAAAACAACTGGACTGCATGCCAAAAAAAGCAGATTCCTAAGCCCAAGCCAGAGCATCAGAGCCTTCAGGGATAAGGCCAAGGAACCTGAACAGCCGAACTCCAGAAGTGATTTGTCTGCCCAGCTGAGTCTGAAACACATCACTGCATTCTGGGGCTGTTACCTACACCTTGCCCAGTCTGCAATGGAGCTTTCGTAGAAAAAGCATTGGAATCACAATCCAAAATCCTGCCATTAGAACAATGGCTCCGTCATGTATTGGCCCTGTGGCCTTGGCCGAGTTGTTTCCTCTCCATAAAACAGATAATACTGTCTGGAGTGATCATTAAGATGAGCTGCAAGGCCGGGCGTGGTGGCTCACGCCTGTAATCCTAGCACTCTGGGAGGCGAGGTGGGAGGATTGCTCAAGGTCAGGAGTTGGAAACCAGCCTGAGCAAGGGTGAGACCCTGTCTCTACTATAAATAGAAAGAAATTAATTGGCCAACTAATATATATAGAAAAAATGAGCCGGGCATGGTGGCGCATGCCTGTAGTCCCAGCTACTCTGGAGGCTGAGGCAGGAGGATCGCTTGAGCCCAGGAGTTTGAGGTTGCTGTGAGCTAGGCTGATGCTGAGGCACTCACTCTAGCCTGGGCAACAAAGTGAGACTCTGTCTCAAAAAAAAAAAAAAAAAGCAAACAAATTAAGTAAAAAATGGAAATGCCAGGACATGTTCATGCTGCTGATAGCCAAGTACAGTGGCTCTGTCTTTCTGGAAAGCAATCTGGCCCTGAACAGCAGTTACAAGTATGTCTGTAATTTCACTCTTGGGAAAAGCTAAAAGGGCTTCTTTACAAACTGTAAAGAA